CAGTCCCAGCTATTTGAGAGGCAGAGGTAAGAGGATCCCTTGAACCCAACAGTTCAAGAATGCAATTAACTAAGATCGAGCCACTACCCTCTAGTCTAGGCAACAGAACAAGACCCTGTCAGGGGACTGGGGGGAGGAAAAAGAAAAAATAGTATATTTAATGGTTCAAAATATCCAAACCTTATCATTGTAACCTATCGCTTATCCAGGACTTACCACGTGACTTGCACTTTACATACATAATTATTAATCTTTCAAAGACTCCTGCAAGGTAGGAATATCGATTTTACAAATAAATAAATGGAAACTCAAAGAAGTTACATCATAGACAGGATGCAATGGCTGATGTCTGTAATTCTAGCACTTTGTGAGACCAAGGTGGGAGAACTGCTTGAGGTTAGGAATTCAAGACCAGCCTATGCATCCTGGCAAGGACATAACTCCACAAAAAATAAAATTAAAGAACTGCCAGGTATGGTGGCACACACCTATAGCCCTAACTACTTGGAAGGGTGAGGCAGCAGGACTGCTAGCTTGAGCCTAGGGGTTTGAGGCTGCAGTTAGCTATGACTGTGCCACTGCTGGCCTTGGGGACAGAGTGAAACCCTCTAAAAAAAACCAAAGCAGCAACAAAAAGTTACATCATAGCTTGTTCTGGGTCGTAACACAAGTAAGCTGGGATTTTAATTAGGATTCCGACTCTACAGCCAGCCTTTTCACTACATAATGCCCTGTTTCATGAACATGTTCCATATATTATTAGATATTTATCTTAACAGAGTTTTACACAGCTAAGACATTGGTCAGCCTAACAAAATAATGTATTTTTAAGGTCTAACCTTCAAATGTCCTTCGCCTGTGAGGAATTCAGAATAACCGGCGTCAGTGGCCAGCAAACCTACGAACTGCATGCTGGGGCGCTGCTGTATGAAGGCTTCCACAGCTTTATCTGTCACATGCTTTCTCCCAGAAACATCCAGAGAGACAAGGTTGGGAAGGATGTCTTTTTGTTCTAGTAAGCGAAGAGCTATGTCTGATGTAAACTGTTTATCATCTGAGATATCAAGATGATTCAGATGTTTTAGTTCCCGGACAACATCCAGAATCTGGGTAGTTGTCATTTTTAAACATTTCAAGTGATGCATGGTTAAAGATTTGAGTCGGTCTTTGCAGGCCAGCAAAGCAGTGATGTCTGTGATCGAGGTGTTAGAAATATCCAGGCTCTCTAACCTTGGCAATGAGGCAACTTCAGCCAGGTCTTCATTATAAAAGAGAACATTGGTGATGCTTAAAGCTCGAAGGCCAGAAAGCCGGCTGAAGCACCGCTCGTAGGGATCCTCAAGGGAGAGAGTTAATGAATTCAGCACTAGGCACTGGAGATTTTGCTGGATCCATTTGTTACTGCCAAGCCCACTGATAATGTCTGTAATTGTGATATCAGCATTCACACCTGTGGCATCAAGTTCCACTAACTTGTGGTGGCAGAAGGCTTTCCGGAAAGCAACAGCAGAGATCTTTGCTTTGCGAATGCAAGCTCGCTTTAAGCGCATCTGGTTGCCCCTAAAAATACCCACAGTTCCATCATTCAGTAGACCTGGGGAAAAACAAGCAGCACTTTAACATCAAAAAACAGTTAAATTTTAGATAGCTAAAATTTGTATCACACTTATATTTATATTTTCAAAGCACTCCCATGTCACAGTATTTCATTTGATAATTCCAACAATGATATTCTCATCTCAGGTTCGGCACCTGTAGCACAGTGGTAAGGGGGCCAGCCACATACACCGAGGGTGGCAGATTCGAATCCAGCCAGGGACAGCTAAACAACAATGGCAACTGCAACAAAAAAAAGCCAGGCATTGTGGTGGGCGCCTGTAGTCTCAGCTACTTGGGAAGCTGAGGCAAGAGAATCGCGTAAGCCCAAGAGTTAGAGGTTGCTGTGAGCTGTGATGTCACACCACTCTACCAAGAGGAACACAGTGAGACTCTGTCTCAAAAAAAAAAAAAAAAGAAAAAAAAAAACTCATCTCAATGAATTATCTACAATTTATAGACAGGTAAACTGGGGATCAGAAAATGGTTTTCCACAATCACAGAGCTAGCATGTGATAGAATCAGGCTACTGTAGACAATAACAATATCCACTAACATCTGGTTCTCCTCACTTGGTAGACAGAGAGCCAGCTACATTTCTCAGCCCTCTCCCAGAGTTAGATGAGGCTACATTCCTAGTTCTACCAATAGGTGCAGGCTAAAGAATCTAAGAGCCAGTGCCTGACTTTTCATGCTATCTTTTGCTATCATGGCAAATGAAGAACCTTCAGGTATAGTTTTATGAAGGCAGAACCTCTGTCAGTTTAGATCCTAGGGTGCCCAAACAGCAGAACCTCCTACAGACTAGCAGAGGTTGTGTACCATGAGTGAAGTATAAACTTTGTGTTAAGTATTTTATTTGTTACAATTTATTTCTAGCTTATCCTTTAAATTCATTACAACACACATATATATAAGGGGCTACACACTGATTTCTGTGAGGACTGTTTTTGCTTATCTGTGGTCTTAGCTATCCCGAGAAGTATGCACAGGCCTATTTTTTGCTAATCATCTTTCCTTAGTGTGTGTGTATTTGAGGCGTGGCATAAGACAACTTTTATTTTTCCAATGTATGGCAGAGGAAAAAAAGGTTGGACACCCCAACAGTGGTTACAGCCCCTGCTGTCAGATGAATGCAAATAAAGTAGACATAATAACCTCTTAAAGATCTACCTGTGTGCTAATCAATAGTGCCCCAAATATATATTTTAGGAACCAGATCTCAAAAATATTACATATTAGATAACATCTACTGTGAAAGAAGTGACAGTCATGCAAATAAAAAGTAGTCTAAGAAGAGTCTGGGGTGAATTACCACTTGGGGCCAGGTAAATAAATAGTTTAAAGTCAAGAGAAGAACTCTTTAAGTGGTACCTCAGCTGGCTCATACTTCAGATGTAGCTAGGTTGCTAGCCGGCTCCTTAAATTAGAATTGAGGTATTTTTAAAGGGAGCACTGCTATTTAACAGATTTTGCACATTCTCATCACATAGCTAAAAAACTCAGGTTGGGGGTGGTGGCTCATGCTTATAAATCCAGCACTTTGGAAAGCTGAGGCAAGAGGACCACTTGAGGTCGGGAGTTCAAGACCAGCCTGAGCAAAATAGCAAGACCCTCATCTCTACTAAAAAAATAGAAAAAATTATCTCTACTAAAAAAATAGAAAAATTAGGTTGCAGCATGCCTACTGGTCCCAGTTATCAGGAGGCTGAAGCAAAAGGGTCACTTGAGCCCAGGTGTTTGAGGTTGCAGTGAGCTATGATCATGCCACTCACTGACCATGTCTGGGCAACAAAGTGGTGAGACCCTATCTCCAAAAAAAGAAAAAAGAAAAAGAACAAAATGGACAAATGATCCGAACAGTATTTCTCAAGATATACAAAGGCCAATAAATACATGAAAACATGCTCAACAGCACTAATCATCAGGGAAATGCAAACCTAAACCACAATGAATTATCCTCTCACAGCAGTTGGGATGGCTATTATAAAAAAGACAAAAGTAACAGATGCTAGTGAGGATGTGGAGAAAAGGGAACTCTTACACACTGTTGGTGGGGATGTAAACCAGCATAGCCACTGGTAAGGAGAACAGTATGGAAGTTCTTTGAAAAACTATAAATAGAACTACCATGCGATCACACTATAGAATATTTATACGAAGGAAAGGAAACCAGTATGTTGAACGACATATGCACCCCTATGTTTATGGCAGTACTATTCACCATAGCCTAGATATGGAATCAACTTAGGTGTTCAACAACAGACAAAAGGATTTGTCTGTGGCATAATACACAACCAAGTACTATTTAGTCATTAAAAAGAATGAAGTACAGTCACTCACAGCAACCTGGAGTGAACCAGCAGACATTAGGTGAAGTGAAATAAGCCAGGAACAAAAAGCTAAATACTGCATGTTCTCATGCATAGGTGGAAGCTAAAAAAAGTTGATCTCACAGAAATAAAAAATAGAACTAAGGATACTAGAGGCTGAGAAAGGAGGAGGGGTAAGATTTGTTAAAGGATACAAAATTACAGCTAGAAAGAAGGAATAGGTTTTAAAGTTCTATACCACAGTAGAATGATCATACTAACAATAATATGTAATTTCAAAAAGCTAAAAAGATATTGAATATTCCTAATACAAAGAAATGATATGCTAATAACCCTGATCGGATCCTTATACATTATTTGCATTGAAACATCACCATGCCCCCCATAAATATGCACAATTATTATATGTTAATTTTAAACTACAGTAAAAAAACACAGCTACCAGTACCATTAACCCTGTGAATAGGATAAATGAGGAAAACATTTTAAACATATGTGTATGTCAAGCACTTTCTAAAATCGATATGCTATTTTAAAAAGTATGATATGGTATTACCAATTAAAAGCATTCATAGAACAATTTTTTTTCCCATTTGAAAGTTTTCACATGGGCAGTGTCTGTGGCTCAGTGAGTAGCACACTGGCCCCATCTACTGAGGGTGGTGGGTTTGAACCCAGCCCTGGCCAGGCTGCAACAAAAAGTAGCTGGGCGTTGTGGTGGGCACCTGTAATCCCAGCTACTCAGGTGGCTAAGGCAAGAGAATTGCCTAAGCCCAGGAGTTGGAGGTTGCTGTAAGCTGTGATGCCACAGCACTCTACCAAGGGCCATAAAGTGAGACTCTGTCTCTAAAAAAAAAAAAAAAAAAGTTTTCAAGTACACTGCTCAGGTGATAGGTACACTATGCCACAATGCCCGGCTATTTTTTGGTTGCAGTTGTCATTGTTGTTTAGCAGGCCCGGGCTGGGCTCAAACCTGCCAACCTTGGTGTATGTGGCTAGTACCCTACTCACTGAACTATGGGCGCCAAGCCAAGACTAGGTTTTTTTAAACTGAAAATGCTGAGCATATGGGCGGTGCCTGTGGCTCTGTGGGTAGGGCACTGGCCCCATATACCTAGGGTGGTGGGTTCAAACCTGGCCCCAGACAAACTGCAACCAAAAAATAACCAGGTATTGTGGTGGCACCTGTAGTCCCAGCTACTCGGGAGGCTGAGGCAAGAGAATCGCCTAACCCAGGAGTTGGAGGTTGCTGTGAGCTGTGTGACATCACGGCACTCTACTGAGGATGATAATGTGAGACTCTGTCTCTAAAAAAAAAAAAGATAAAAGAAAATACTGAGCATAATCATTAATTGTGCAGCTTTATAAGACACCATTAATTTTAACATATAGTACTTATTATTTAACACATATACAACTTATTGAAATTTACCCCAGCTCCTATGGCAGGTTGGAAAAATTCAACCAGACCACGTAATGAAAACCAAGGAGTGTAAAGGAGGTCTTCTTTCCTTAATTATTCCCAAATGCCTCTATTACAGCCTCATTTCTTCCATTCTTCCTTAGAATGCAACATCTGCATTCATGCTTTAATAGTTACGTGTGCACACTAAAGTCACAGCAAAAGTGCAAATCATTAGGTAACATCTAGGAGCAGGGATGCTTCTAATGTAGGTATAGGAAGGCTGCATAGCACAACAGGAAGAGCATATAAATTAGAAACAGACTTGCACATGAACTAGGACTCTACCATTTATTTTATTTTATTTTTGAGACAGAATCTCACTATGTTGCCCCAGGTAAAGTGTTGTGACATCACAGCTCACAGCAACCTCAAACTCTTGGCCTTAAGCAATTATCTTGCCTCAGCCTTCCAAGTAGCTGGGACTACAGGTGCCAACCACAATGCCCAGCTATTTTTTGGTTGTAGTTGTCACTGTTGTTTGGCAGGCCCAGGCTGGATTCGAACCCACCAGCTCTGGTGCATGTGGCTAATGCCCTACCTGCTGAGCTACAGGTGCCAAGCCAGGACTCTACCATTTATTAGCAGAATGACCCTCACTGAGTTACTTCTCTAAGCCTCTGTTTCCATATCTGTATATGAATGGGAGTACTAACAGCTACCTTATAGAGTTTTTGGGTTTTTTACACTGATTGCATTTGTTAGGTATAGTCAGTCCCTCTTATAATTGTGTTTTGCCTCCAAAAGGTGTGTCACACACCGAGACCCCCAAACCCTTTCCTCCTTCCCTCTCTCTGCTCTTCCTTTTTCCCCACCCCACCCCCATTCTCTTACAGAATTTTTGAGAAAATTCCATGAAAATATATGTAAAATGCCTGGCACACAGGCAATAAATAAATTATAGCTATTATTGCCAAATTTCCATTGTATTTTATAGCTGTGGACAAATCACATTCTCTACTTGTAAGAGTTTTTTTGTTTGTTTGTTTGTTTGTTTTTGAGACAGAGCCTCAAGCTGTCCCCCTGGGTAGAGTGCTCTGGCATCATAGCTCACACCAACCTCCAACTCCTGGGCTCAAGCGAGTCTTCTGCCTCCACCTCCCAAGTAGCTGGGACCACAGGCGCCCGCCACAATGCCCAGCCATTTCTTGGTTGCAGCCATCATTGTTGCTTGGCAGGCCTGGGCTAGACTTGAACCTGCCAGCTCAGGTTTATGTGGCTGGCACCCCAGCCGCTTGAGCCACAGGCGCCGAGCCTACTTGTAAGAGTTTAAAAAAACCTTAACAACATAAAGATATATCTTTTTTTGTTTTTGTTTTCTTTTAGCCAGGGCTGGGTTTCAACCTGCCACCTCCAGCATATGGGCCCGTCAGCCTGCTCCTTTGAGCCATAGGCACTGCCCTAAAGATATATCTTTTTCAAGCTAAAACTTAAACAGAGGTAACAAAAATACTCCATATACTTAATCAAAACTTCACAGATGAAACTTTCCAATTTATTTTCATAAGTTAGTTTTGAAAACAGAAGTATAAACTTCTGTTTTGAATACTTGAAAACAAAAGCATAAAATTACCTGTGATTTCCTTTTTTTTTTTTTGAGACAGAGTCTCCCTTCCCCAGTAGAGTGCGGTGGCATCATAAGTCACAGCAACCTCAAATTCTTGGGCTTACACAATTCTCTTGCCTCAGCCTCCTGAAAAGCTGAGACTACAAGCAACTGCCACTGCCCCTGGTTATTTTTAGAGATGAGGTCTCACTGTGGATCAGGCTGGTCTCGAACTCGTGAGCTCAAGCGATCCATCATCCACCTCAGCCTCCCAGAGTGCTAAGATTACAGACTTGAGCCAGTGCATGCGGCCTTGGTGTGATTTACCATTTAAAAGGCCAAAAGCAGAAATTAGTTTTACCATAATACTATTGATTCTCTCAGTGTCAAATGAAGACATAATTTTATACTAGCAGACTTCTGAGTATTTTGTAAGTTAAAGAATTATTTGATATAAGAAAGGTTTCTCAAAACCAAAAAAAAAGCTTGCCTAGATTAGAAAAGAAGAATGTTTTATTCTAAATTAGACAATAAGAGGAAGAATAAGTAAAACTAAATGAATTCCTTTTCCTAGAATTAGGCTTTATCTGACCTTTGTTATTTCCAAGAAAATAATTAAATGGTTACAACAGCACTTCAAAATCCAATTCCAATCAACAGCATATAATTTTTGTCTCTTTTTATTTTTTTACCATGAAAAGCCATGGTCTGAAGCAGTCTATCAGCCACCTCCTGTGGGAATACTCCAGGTTCCTGCAGACACAATGTTCCATCTTGTCTTGCTGAACAGAACTTCTCGAGGTGAGTAGTCAGGAAATTCAAGCAGATATCAAGTAAGGAATAGGGAGATGCCTCCTCCTAGGAGCCCAGGAAAAAAAACATAAAGGAGCAAAAAAACAAGTTAGTTCCCAGAAAAGAGAATAAAATATTGATATACTCATTTAACAAGTATTTATTTAGGGTCTATCATATGCCAGATAACTGCGCTTGGCGTTGGGAATACAATATGTTATCCATGTTCTTAAAAAGCAAGAGACCAGAAACACTGAAATCAACATTTGCACATAGTTTCTTAAGTACTATAATAGAAGACATATTGGGTACTAAGCATATAGCAGTGGGTTCTAATCAGTCAGATATGATCAGGGGAAGACCTCAAAGGGATAGCAAATTAATCTTCCTAATTACTACCCATGATCCTCTCCTGCTTAAACCGTCAATAAACTTGCATGGGCCTGAAGACTAATGACAAAATTCTTAGACTGTTACCTACACCCAAATCCACCTAAAATCTAGCCCCAATTTATTAATAGCTTTCAACTTGATCTCCTACTAAATTCCCATTCTAACCTGATGGTTCAAATATTGGAATTAACTTGAGTTAAAAAATAGGATATAGATGTTACAGCATCAAAAAAAGAAAAGTTTGGCCAGGTCCGGTGGCTCACACCTGTAATCCCAGCACTTGGGAGGCCAAGGTGGATAGATTGCCTGAGCTCACAGGTTTGAGACCAGCCTGAGCCAGAGGGAGACCCCATCTCTAAAAAATAACTGGGCGTATGGGCGGTGCCTGTGGCTCAAAGGGGTAGGGCACTAGCCCCATATGCCGGAGGTGGTGGGTTCAAAGCCAACCCTGGCCAAAAAAAAAAAAAAAAA